TACATTCTTTTCACAGTCCTTAACATTCCATGGTTAACATCTTTTTCTTTGAGCTGAACAAAATAAATTTTTTATGGTTTATTTATCATTTTCTTTAAATACATAACAGCTAATTATAAAATAAAGGGTATGGGGTTTATTTGTAAAGTTTATGAAGCCTAAATTGTATTCTAGTTGTAGAATAACCCAACCGATAAACACTTAACATAATTGTATCTCCCCTGTAACTTGTGAAGATCCCTCCTTTTTATTGAACGTAAAGAAGGAGAAAAGAAAAAAAATAATGGCAAAAAAACAAATAAGGGGTCATATCTGATGAACTCTTGTCTAACTTCTTCCTGATTTATATTCAGTTTTTATTTTAGTGTCCTTGCATTGATATATGAACATGTGAAATGCTGCTTCAGTTTTTGCTCCACCTCTTTTTGATGCTGTAATCAACAGTCAATCCCTCTGCCTCATAACTCAGCCCGGGAGAGGCAGGAGACACACTCTGTCCTTCAGAAGTCTTCACCAACATTGTCCTGCCATATGTGGCAGGCACAACGAGTGGCAGAGCTGTGAAACCAACACTTTCTCATTTCTCTCAAAGGTTTTGCCTTTAATTCCTTGGGAGGATGGCAGAAGGTGCAGATGGAGAGGAAGAGATTCAGTTTCTGCGTACAGTGAGTGATGCTCCTTATCTGTTCTCGATTAGTTGTCAACTGTTGGTAAACTTATTCATCAACAATGAATGGTAGTGGCTATGCTTGTCCATGATGTGGTTGCTTTATAACAGATAGTTAGACAAGTGTTCAGTGTGTTCGGTAGCTTTCTTTACATAGCACAGATAGACAGGCACAGGTGGCTGGTTTTGTTAGCATTGTTTCCTATTTATATCCCATTGGCTACTTGATATACAACTGTTTTGTCACAGAGAAGAAAATGTCTGGTGCCAGTTGACAGTTAACACGTAGACATATCGGTCTCATCGTCCCATTCCCACTGGCTTTATGGGAATGTTTATGTTTTTGTTATTTAATTGGCTATAGAGCTACAAGAACTGATTCATGACTCCCGTGTGATACAGAGGCATGAAACATCAATTGTTACTTCTTCCCGTTGCACTTTCATTTTATTTTTGCCCAGTATCCTTCAAGATTAAATACTTCTTTAGTCCTTTGACTCCTACAGAATAAATAAATAAAACTCAATGCTCTTCTGCCAGTTGAAAGATTGCAGTTTTTATTAGTGTTTATTATTTCATTATTGATGATTATTATTACATTATGAAGTGTAATCTCTTTTTTACTGCTGTGTGGATATAAATGAATCCCACTCAGACATTGGATTTTGTTTTGTTTTTATTACATTACAAGGTTTTTAGTATATTTTATTTAGGATTTCTTACATAATTGACTGTACTATAGTTATATCAAGTATTTAGTTTAAACAAGTTTATCTCTGCTACAGTACTCTCTGCTGGGCTATCAGATTTCCTTCTTAGATCTCTGGGCCAAAGCTGACTGCAGAAGGGCATTGTGGCCTTGCAATCAGACAACTCAATGTAACACTCTTTATTTGGATGGTCCGTATATGTTGCACTTGTTTAACATAGTGGTTGAACATGTGCAGTGTAGTAACTCTAGCCTTCAAAATAGCACAAACCAGATGCTGATTATCCATTATCCTGTGTTATGAGAATTTCTCATCTTTGCAGTTTTTTTGTTCCTTCTTGATTAAATGTGTGTTCTGCAGTCTGCTACTTTGTGCTTAAACAGGTGCCCTTAACAGATAATTGGAACAATGTGAACTCTTTGAAATTTAAATGCGTTTTCTTGTAAATATTTTGCCTTGCAGCTGCTATACATAATTCTAAGAAGCACACATTTTCACTTGA